ACTCACCCTCGTGTGGATGGCTAAGTCCTCAGCACTCACCCTCGTGTGGGTGGCTAAGTCCTCAGCACTCACCCTCGTGTGGGTGACTAAGTCCTTAGCACTCACCCTCGTGTGGGTGGCTAAGTCCTCCGCACTCACCCTCGTGTGGGTGACTAAGTCCTCCGCACTCACGCTCGTGTGGGTGACTAAGTCCTCAGCACTCACCCCCAGCTAGTGCAGTCTGTCATGTCCAGTGCTTCCCTCCGTTGCTGCCTCTCTGTGGAGGTCAGCTGCAGTCTCCATGTGTCTGCAGGTGTGAGCCACTCCTCTCACACAGTGAGTCCTACCTCAGGGAGAAAGTGCCAGCAGCTGCTTCCTCCTTCGCTGGAGTCTCTCCCTTTCTGTGGGCCTCGATCTGAGCTTCGGATTCTTACTGGGGCCCACTCCCTCCCTCCCCTCTTCTTCATGCTGCCGTGCTCCAGTGTCTCGCGAGCTCTGCCGTCTCTGCCTCTCCCGTTGTCTGATGGCCTGGGAGGTCTTACATCCAGCCTTCTGTCTACTCAGAACAGTAGGGCTTTTAGAATCAGGCGTGCGTTCTAATTATAAGACCTTTGCAAATGTCATTTCCTTTCTATTTTAAGATGTTAAAAACTTCAATGACAGTGTAGGACTTTTCTGTTTAAAATGCTCTAGAAACTATTTGTATTTTAACGTAAGTCAAATAATGAAAAGTGAATTCTTAAAGTGTCCTGCACTCTGCCATGAACTGAATGGACCAGAGCGATGGAGGCTTCCCAAGCCTTTACTTTGCTTACCCTGCTCTGATTTACTAGTATTGGAGCTCTTGTACTTGAGGCTGCCCTCTCTAACTGCAGCGTGTGTCACAGTGGGGTTCTGTTTCTTCGGGGTGTTTAGGGAGCAGTACCCTGCGCTTAAGTAACCCATGCTTCCCTTGCAGTCTGATAGCCACTACTCCAGCCACTCCAGTAGCAATACCCTCTCCAGCAACGCATCGAGTGCCCACAGTGATGAGAAGTGGTACGATGCGGACCGCACAGAATCTGAACTCAACAGCTATAACTATCTGCAGGGAACCTCAGCCGACAGTGGCATCGACACCACCTCCTATGGCCCCAGCCACAGCAGCTCGGCCTCCCTGGGAGCGGCCACCTCATCGCCTCGATCGGGGCCAGGCAAGGAGAAAGTGGCACCCCTGTGGCATAGCTCCAGTGAAGTGCTGTCCATGGGCGATCGGACTCTAGAGCTAGAGAGCCACGGCATGGACCGGAAAGCAGAGTCCTCGCTGAGCCTGGACCTCCACAGCAAGAGCCAGGGTGGCTCGAGCCCTCTGAGCAGAGAGAACAGCACCTTCAGCATCGGGGACGCCGCTTCCCACACCAGGTAATGGCTGCCCTCCTGCCGCCTCGAGCTCCCTGTGCCCATCAGTGCGTGTGGGTTGGCAGCTTCATGGCAGGCTTCTCTGACGCACTGGCAGTGGACTGTTGGGTTCTTTCTTTAAAAAACAAACAAACAAACAAAAAAACGTTTATTTTCTCATATTTATTCCAATTATCAGCAAAAAAGTCCTACAGTGTAAGGCATTATTTTAGACTCTGAGAAAATTTTGCAGATTTATTCTTTGTAAAAGTTGGACTTTTAAAACATTTTCCTGTTTATGTTCCAGAGTTAAAGTGGAGTTATATAATTTCATAATTCTGGTTTCCACCTAAAGAAGATAAACTGGGACAATCTCTTAAAGATTTTTTTAAAAATCTTGATAATATTTTAAAATGGTCCTTTCCTAACAGAACATCCCTTCTGCTACATCTTTGAGAACATCACTTAGCCAGTACTTCCATGGAAATTTTTCGTTATTTCATTTCATTGTTTCCCATGGTAGTTTTTCTCACTGACTTTTGACTGTGATGGGAGTGGGGGGCTAGTGAGGGAGAGTAGCTGGAGTTGGTGCACCCCACGGGCTTTCCAGAGCTGAGCACTGCACATTCCCCTGCACCCTGGGCGACTTCTCAGGGAGCAAAATACTCACTACTTTTCACTTTCTCTAGAATCCAGAGTGTGATAAGATTCTTCCTTTAGGAACAAAGCATTCCACTGCTGTCTTTTCAGGCCTAGTCCCCTAGTCCCCAGATCTCTTTTCATCTCCTGTTCCTGAGAGCTTGTGTGGCAGCGTCTGTGTTTTGTTATTACAGAGATCTGATCATCTGTTATGCCGTATGAAGAAGTCTTAATTTAGCTTTATGTATGTCACGTGGGAGGCCAAGCGCACACTCTCTTGGTCAATTTTAGGTCATCTTGATGAGCAAAGACCTCCTCTACTTAATCGGGGCTCACCCTGACCGCTGTGTGTTCCGTTGTCGTCTGTGTGCCTACAGCACGTACAACTCCCAGCCTCGTGCTAGAAAGCGTTTCAGGACTGTTGTTTCCATCCACTGCTGCCATGTTCCGGATCTGCAGACGGCCGTGGTTGCTGGGTTCAGCGGCAGACGCCTGCAGTCCCGGAACTGTGGGTGCTACGCAGGGAGATCAGGAGCTCGAGTCCCACCTGCGCAGCTTGGTGAACTCTTTATCTTGAAAAAGCAGGGAGGCCTAGGGTAGTTTAGTGGGAAGGGCTGTGTGGTGCTGTCATCCGTGTCACTTTGCAAGGCTGCAGGTGACCTGGAAACCCAAGCGAAACGAGCTTGCCACAGTGCTGTAGGTGTTCGCAGCACTCGGCGTCCAGCCGCCCTTCTGCTGATTAGGAAGTCACGTTTGATCAAGTGGGATGGAGGGTGAGTTTGAAGAGTGGAACGGAAAAGTGGGTGCCCAATGCTGCATAGCACCTGATGCCGCTGGAGCCGGTGAAGTATGGCCCTTGCCCTCTGCTCTGGGCTCGTCTGACAGTCTGCTCAGCTGTAGGCTGCTCACTGACGTAGACATTTTTCACATCAGAATGAGTTCTCTGCAGCTTCTAGGGTCAGCTGGACTCGTTTCAGGAGAGCTGGGCCCCGAAGGTGGAATGTGGACCCTTGCTATTGTCTGACCACTTCAGGGGAATTACGGAGCCCCCCAAACAGACACCTGGGTTTGCAATATCTAAGTACTCTGACTGGGCCTCCAAGGATTATGTAAATTTTCCGCTTCAAATGAGCCATGCAAAATCATCGAAATCTTCAGTTAGAAATAACTCTTCTATTGAAAGTCAAACTCACTGCAGAAGAGAAGAATGTAGCCTTTCAGGGAGGGTGGCAGGGCCTCCCACCCACCAAAGGGTTGAGTCACAGTCATTTCTCCACTGGTAAACAGGGATGCTTTCTAACTTCAGTCTGTTGGTCTTGGCAGAGTGAGTTGGATAATCAGAGCTTTTGCAGCCTTCCTTTGCTGGCGGAAGAGAAGACTTAGCCACACAGTGCACAGTGCTAGAGAAACTGGAATCATAGCAAATTAGAGTGTTTATGTCCTCAGAAGACAGGAGCAGCAATTAACGTGGAGATCTCTTGACAATGTATAAAAGAGCTTGTACCTGGGACTCGATGACAAAAATGTAAATTACAGTGATTAAGTTCTACTGTATATTTCTGGCTGGGCTGCTCCTGCCCTCCTCTTTTGTCCAGTCTCCCTGTTGATGACTATGCAGGTTTTTCCCCTGAGCAGCGTTAATGCGGGTTGGTAATCACTTAGGGGTGTTATATGTGTCTGTCATTAAGAGATACCATATGTACTAGTAACTTTCTGTAGTGAAAAAAGTATTAATTGAAATAAAGATATATTTTCTATAAAGCTTAGAAGTCTGGGGAGAGAGATTTTAATTTCCCTTTTGGGTATTAAAATGAGCCACTCATAAAGAATGACTTGTGGCAAATACAGGAGACGCGAAGACCATTCCAATTTTAGTTCATTTTTAAAACATTCTCTTTTTTTCATAGCCTGGCTTTCATAGATAGGCAAGACAGTTACAGACCAGGGCCTCTCAGTTTGCACAAAGGGCTCTCATCCTACGAGCCAGTGTCACAGCAGATGTGGGGACTAGGTGTGAGACCACTTTTTATAAAGCTGCAAACCCCTGTCCTGCACCTGGTGTGCACGTGCCCTCTGCAGTGTTCCCGCCTGGCTTGTGCTGGAGTCCCAGCCTCTGCCTGTTTGCATGAGATTCGGATAGTCTGCAGACTCTTCATTCTGCCTCCCTCAGGCCCTCTCCCAGTCCTGTAACCAGTTAGTGCCTACTTGCAAAATCACATGCACATTTGTACGACTGTCAAGTAGCTCAGGGAAACTGCAGGAAGGAAGACAGATCAGGTCAATCTTCATGCCACCCTTGGCCAGCTTTGTGGCCTTTGGCCAGTTCAGACCTGTTCCCCAAGCTGGGCCTTTATCTGTAATCTAGTACTTGGCCCACCTACTAAATGGCTGTTCTTCTTTGTTTTGTGAAAATCAGAAAGGTTGGTAAATGTATTGCAACCTACAAATGCCTTTCTAGGACCAAAGGTTGTCGTTTCCTTTAAGCTTGCCTTCGCCCACCCTAAGCAGCTCTGAGCTTCCCCTCAGCGGGCACGTATCTCTCACAGCTCTTGGGACTGCTGCTTTGTGTTTCATCCTATAATCATTTTCTATTTTCAAGCTTCCCTGCTTTTTCTTTATCCTTTTAGATTCTAAACTTGGACATGACACCCACCTCGGCCCCATTACATGATAATGTTCCAGCTACCTTGGTAGCTCCTTATTTGGGGCCTCATACAGCAGACTCCGTTGTGGTCCCCGGTGCTCTCTGATGTGCCCTGCTGCTGCAGGCGGGTAGCCACCC